CTCCTTCTCAGTTTAGCCTTTCTTTTAACAGGGGATTTGCCCAAAAACCTTGCCTTAATCCCCCATTAAGGATCAGGTTTCCATCTCACAATGTTTTTTTCATCGTCCCTTGACTACTCACTCTGTTTCACATCTTTTTCCAAGGGCACCCTAAGACCTAAATTTGTTTTTTTTTCGGTCCTACAGAGGTCTCCATTTGAGAATATTAGCGATGGTCATTTTGCATACTCTCTCCCAGAAGATCACCTTCTTGATTGCTATCACCTCGGTGTGCTGAGTGTCGGAGCTAGCTGCCTTTTCCTATAAGTTCCCCTACCCGGTTCTGCGCAGAGGTATGGAGATTCTCCATCAGTGCCCCTCTTTCCTGCCGAAGGTAGTAGCTGATTCTCCCTGCATGAGGACTTGACTTCTTAGTGTTCATTTTCTTCACGCCCTAATGAGCTTGCACTGTGCTCCTTGAGTGTGGTTCGGGCGGTTGTGTGTGCTTGTCTGCTATGGTTTCCTTTTGCAGAACAGGTCTCCGTATCTGATATGGATGGACCACAAAAAAGTCTGGTGGCCTCCTCTGCCATCATTTCTTGTTCGATTGGGTAGACTGTTGTTCAGTCTTATGTCCTCATGGGTCGGGCTGTTCCCTTCCCCATTCACCAGGAATATGCTCTGCTCAGGAGTTCAGGCAAAAAAAAAACATAAAAATATTCTTCCACTGAAAGAAAGTTTGGTGGCATCTGCAGTGTGTAGGTATGTTGGTTATGTGGCCTACTGCACACAGGAATGACAAATGTCAGTTACTATAATATATTGTAGTTTCCTATGAAAATAAAGTGGTTTTATTATACAGTCATTTAAGAATTCATGTAGTTATTACTCAAATTCACTTTAGATGAAGCGTAGCAGAATTAGTCTGGTAGGGCTCCATGAACACAAGTGTTTTTTATAAGCTCAAAATACGCTAGAAAAAAAAAACCCTGGATGAAAAACGCGGTTAATAGATTTTTTTGTGCCAGCTTGTAGTAGCTTTTTAGGAGCGATTTAGTTTTATTAGCTTTTTTACATTGCACGTATTAATAAAAAAGCTCAAAAAAAGCTGTTAGGAGGGTTTTAATAGCTTATTAGCTTCTAGGAGCAGAAACAAAGCTCATAATAGCTTCTAAGAGCTTAAAAAAGTGTGCATGGAGCTTAAATGTGTATTTGCCACATTTTACCTGTGGGTTTTGCTGTTGAATGGGATATTGCTTAGGTATAAATGATATACCTTTTCTTAGTTTACTATTGTAAAAAAAAAAAAAAAAAACTCTTATAGATGCATTCCTCATGGTAACAGCATTTTTGCAGAAAATAAACCACTTGACGCTTGTAAAAGTACGAACGCGATTACAAGCGTCAAGCGATTGGGTGTTAATTTATTTAATTGGCCATAATTTATTCTGGACACACTGGCCCTGGGTTTTTTTTTCCTGCCTGTAAACGATCCTGCCACTAAAAGCTTCTAAAAGTCCGTGAGCATGGACACATAGAATAACATGGAGGCTCGTTTACAAGAAGTAAAAAAAAAAAAAAAACACCTGACGCTCCTGAAAGTGCAAAAACGCCCTTTGTTCTTGAGGCCTAAACATTGTCTGCTTTTTAGCTGGCTGTCCTGACCCGTTTGTGCCCTGTTGTACATGGCCTGTTATAGTGCCTTGCACACATTTCCACAGTAACGTCAGTGCTTTACACTGGTGTTGTGGATCATCTCTTCTCTTGCACCTGCAGCATTTACCATCACGCTTGTTTTGCTCACCCTTCAAAAGCTGGTTTATATGTCATTTGAGCTGTACTTTGATCATATATAATTGCTTGCCAGCCCACCTCTTGTTATTCTTGTATCACTGCATTGATGACTTCAGTGTCTGTGATCTAGCTTTTGTGAAACAAATAGCTCAGCGTATACATGATCTGCTTCATGTTCTATTTTTGGACAAATTTAAATAAATAGTAACTTTCCTTTTTGTTTTTATAACGTTGAAATGCATCTCTTCCTGGCATTTAAAATGCTTCTCCATTACAAAACCTGGAATTAAGAATGTGCACACTTTTTTATTTTTAAAACATGTAGAAAAAAAACATTTGATGTGGAAGATTTGTACATGGAGGAGGAAGAGGTATGATTTCATTCTCATGTTTTGTTCTACACGGAGAGTGACTGCTTTTACAGAGATCTTAAAATGCCAGGGTGTGACTTTTACCATTTTAATTCTGTATGTTGTAGCTGTTCTTTTGTTACAACTTGAGCTGAACTGATGGATTTCAATGGAGCTACATCTGATTTTACTTTTGCTAGCTTCATGAAAAATATTTTTACAGTCTGTTCAGGAGCATTTTATAATTATATTGTTTCTGTATCCTCTGATATGTGATTTCCAAGGAAATAGGACATGATCAGAATTATAGATTAGAAAATTCTGGACAGCCACTCCGAAGCAGAGAAAACAGACAACCAAGCAAATAACATTTTAAAAGTATATCGGTAATGGCAAACTACTTGTTTCTCTAAGCAGAGGTTTCCTTTTAACTGTTTTGGGATTCTATGGTGTTTTTGACCCCATCCTACTCTGGCTGTCGAGATCTTGCAACAGTGGTGTGATATTTTCTAGTGCTGGTCATTGTTTATTCTAATCAAATAAAGGCAAATATTAAAAGAGAAGTAGGGCTTTTTCTTTTTTTTTCCCCAATTATACTTACCTTGGTGGATGCAGCATCGGTCCAATGCTGCATCTGTCCCCTGCTGTCTCTAGGCTACGTTCACACTAGCTTTGTCAGCAGGCGTCAGACAGGCGTTTTGAAGCATTTTTAACGCTTCCCGAATGCCTATGAAAATTCTGCACATGGCAGCACACAGTGCTGTTCACACGGAAGTGTTAGCGTCGCTTCTCGGCAAAACTGACGCCTCGTGTCTAGTCAGGAGGAGTTGAAGCCTCCCATTCAAGTCTGGTGCTGCTCCGCAAACGCCTGACAGACGTTAATACCATTTAACTTCATTATAGGAGTTTGTGGTGTGGTTTTAATGCTTGGCAAATGCCTATCAACTGCCTCAAAACCGCGCATAGGGCATTTGGGGAGCATTAAAAACGCTTCCCAAACGCATGTCTTAACACCTGTCAAACGTTATAGGGGCGTTTGGCAAGAGTTAGAAATAAAGTCAAGTGTGAACGAGCCCTTAGTGTGAGATCTCGGCATTCACATGACCGCTAATTGCTGAGTTCTCACAGCCGCTCTGAGCAGAGGGCGGTGACTGTCAGTCACGGTTGTCTGCTCTGCCCCTCCCTGCGGTCACTGGAGAACTGGGCTGTGGAGGGAGGGAGCAGCTGGCTCAGGCTCTCAGCGGCTTGCTGAAAGGCTAAGTCAGGTGTCGCTCCAGACCCTGGGGTGGATCCTGACTTTAAAGTTGGGATCTTTCCCCAGCCTGGACCGGCTGAGTGACTTCAGGCCACTGTCAGCTGAGAATGGGTCACAGGAGTGCAGAGTGAACTGTGCTCCTGTGATCCACAGCAGAAGTACAGCCAAAAGAGCTTTGGCCCCTTTTATCTTTAAATTTTAGGTAGACAAGCACAGCCCATATCTTGCAAATATTTTTAGAAATTGGGGTTGTATATAGTAAAAATTGTAAGTCTATATATGTAAATATTTTACTGTTCATTTTGCATTCATTACAGATTAAGTAACTTTTAGTTTCTGCATACACGTGAAAATGGACCCTTTTTTAATGTCAAAAGAAAACTCTATATCCTATGTTTTAGTAATATTGCTGACTGGAGGAAATTGGTGGTTATCTTTCACTGGGTTTGGCCACTGAGGCACGCAGCACTACAGTGGTCTCCTCTTCATTTACACAGCAGCTTCCTGGCCATACTCCGTACCTGCCAACTGCTTGCCTGACGATCCCTGCCACCCTCCTGATGACAGCTTAAAATGAATATGGCTTAAATGTGGCACGTCCCTATTTTACTCTAAACATTATAAAACAGTTGGGCATGGTGGGATATTTAAGGCACAAAAAAAAAAATTGATTTAAAATCTATGAAGTTTATTTATACAAAAACTCTTCTAAAAACAATACATTAGTTACATAGTTACATATTGAATAAAAACGTATTTGGGTTACGTACTTTCTTGTCATTTATCCCCATATTGAATTCATTTCGACTAGATATTACATATGTGCAAGCCAGCATTTTCAGATATTGTTTTCCGAAAGCTTGACGTTTTTCCTGGAGTGTATCCACTTCAACAGGAGCTATAAGCAGAATAGATGAACCTTTGTTACTACTGTAACAAAAAAGCAGAGGTAGACCGTTAAAATACAGTATGTTGGTCTGATAGACACTCTACTACTATCTAAGACTTGCTGTAAGAAAAAATGTGCTATTGCATCAACTGCCCAAGCACTCCCCAAAAGTGTTTCAGTTTGTCAAGACCCCTGTCACTGTTACTTTTGCTGTTCAGCTTTGTTTGCATGTATGTGTATAGAAAATTAAAAGGCTTGAGAAATAAAAATAATTCATCCTAAATATTACACACTTAAGTCAGCCTTAGACTGATCGAATTGATTCATCAGTTGGCTGGCTGGTTGTACTGAAGTGGACCCATCAATCGACTTCAGTACAACCATCCTGTCAGTTTTGTTTAGCCAGTTGCTCCTGGCAGCTGTAGCCACCAGCAGTGATCATTGTGTTCTGATGTTGGCGAAGGCTACCTGCGATCCCCGCCAGCAGAACACAATAGCTCTGACAGAGGGATTCCCCGTCAACATTGACTGTTTTGATGCGGGAATCGGGCAGCAATCTTCAACCCGTGGTTGAAGGAAAGAAAATGGAATAAATTATGGTCTGACTTGCTTCATGCACTTTTATGAATGCAGTGTTTTTTACAGTAGGGTGCCTTTTTTTTCAAGGTTGGGTGGAGCAGTACTGTTAATTGTTTTGCTGTTACACTTATTGTGTTTTTCTATTACACTTTAGGAAGAATTTGGATACAATGCAGATACTCAGAAGCTCCTTGCCAAGAATGGAGAAACACTACTTGGGGCCATCAATTTTTTTATTTCAAGTGTAAATACACTAGTGAACAAGACAATTGAGGACACACTGATTACTGTGAAGCAGTATGAAACAGCCAGGTAATTAAACTGAAAAGAATCATTTTAATTCAAGTGTTACTAAACCCACAACAGTAAAATCAGTCTGTATATGCAGTAAAGCATGCTTGTTATACTCACTGTGGAACCTAAGGGGCTAATCCTCCGCATTGTGTAAAAAGGATGTTTGACCCTGCCTTCCCTGATTCTCCCCATCTTCTACTGTCCCCAGTCCATCTGCTGATATTATAGAGCTCTGAATAACTCTGCACGTGCTCAGTTTGGTGCGTATTGCTAGTTTTTTTTTTTTTCTTTGGGAGAGTGCATGTGATCAGCACAGGGCCAATCAGCATTGTCCAGACATTGGGTCAGGGGTCCTGCAGTCTCATCGGACAGTTACAGCATAATGGAAACTCCTCCTACAAGCCTTAACCAGTGCTTAGCTGGACACTAATAGAAGTCACAAGGCTGCAATATAATGTTGATAAGAAAAGGTATTTAGCAGTTTATATTTACTACAGTAATTGCATTTCCATGTACTGTGTACTGTTGGGGACCAGTTATAGTGAATGCAGGGTCAAAGGTTTAGTAACCCTTTAATTGCATAGTGTTGACTCTTTTGTGTTTTAGTTAAATCTTCTTTTTTAAAATCACTATCATTCCTAGCCTCCCCCAGTCACTACAAAACAAACAGTTCTGCAGTCCCTCAGAAAATCCAGTAATTCTAAAGCCTAAACATTTTTCTTTTACCTTAATGCATTCCTTGCATTAAAATTAAAAATGTTTAGGCATCAGTATCCCCCATCACAGTCACCACCCGCTCCCCACCTTTTAATTATCTGAGCCTTCATTCGATCCAGCTCTGTGCCAGTATGCAGCTCTTCTCTCCCCTCACTTCCTGGTCTTCACTGGCTTTGCTGTGGCAGTGGGGGCCACCGGTTCTCACTGCTGTCAGTGAAAGCCAGAGATTGGGGGTGGGAGTGGGGCGGCGCCAGGTCCTGCTGTCTGTGTCAATAGACGCAGACAGCGAGGCACAAGAGCAATCCCACACAAGTGCCCCCATAGAAAGTGGCTTTCTATGGGGGCACTTGGTGTAGTGGAGGAGCCAGGCATGCCTGCAAGGGACTTGAGAAGAGGAGGTTCAGGACCTGTTCTTAGAAAAAAAAAAGAAAAATTAAATCCCATTAAGTAATATCACTGTAAACCTTAGATAAAGTAGATTATTATTTTCTGCTCTTTTAGACTAGGTTTCCATCTTTGCAGACGTACAGGGGTGGCATTACCGAGCATCAACACCTGCAGCACATTTTCGAGTGTGCTGTACCTTTCAGTGCCACAGCACCATGCAAAAATAGGGAAGGGGAGCAGGTTTCATTTCCTGCTTATCTCACAGATAAGGGCAGCCTGTTGAAATAAATGGGCTTGTGTACCTGTGATATGCACACACTCACATACTTATGTGAATCGGCTCTAAAAGGGCTTTCCTTATGTAGACTTTTTCTTTTCACCATATCAGGAATATGTGGATGTGCTTTTTTTTTTTTTTTTTTTATACCTAGAGGTGTTGGTAAAGCAACATGATTTATTTCTGTGTACCTTTATTGTGTTGCATATCAGTGAGGTCATGTGTGTTTAATCCAGCAAACAATATACTCTGTTATTGATGGCATTGTTCCTGGGGAAGAACCGTCTAATTGCATATTTGTGACATTTTATTAGGAGCTTAAAACTGGTGATTTATTTTATACTTGTAGTCTCGACAGGATTGCACATGCTCATTCATGAATTGTTCTGTTCTTCTGAAGTTTTCATTAAGCAAACCTGGAATACATCTAGCTATACAGTGGATATAGAAAAGAATACTCTTTTACAGTAATCACATTTTGTTACTTTGCAGCCTGAAATGAAGACATACAGTTTTAGTTTTATCCAGCTGTATTTATTCAGTGCATCTTATAACATTCAAGTGAAAGATATAACACCAACATGTCAGAATTAATTTTTTTTTTTAAAATTCAAAAACAGAATCAATGAATTGGAAAAAAGATCACCCCCGCTCCTAAAAATGACTTGTAAACTCAATCAGGTATAGCTGATCGCAATGGCACACAAAGCCATTTTAATTTCAACTGTGATCAGCTGTGGTCAGTTTGATTAGCTTAGCATGAAAAGTGCTTTTCTGGAACATTTCTGTCCATGGTAGTGCAACTGAAGCAAACAATGGATGGCAAGGCACTGTCAAAAGATCTCCGGGATAAAGTTGTTGACAGGAACAAGTCAGAAGATGGATACAAAAAATATATTTCAAAAGCTTAATCAATGCCTAGAAGCACAGGGAAGTTTACTATTAAGAAGTGGAAGGTATTTGGTACCACACAAAACCCTCCCTGGATCAGGATGTCGCTCCAAATTGGATGAAAGAGCCAGGAGGAAACTGGTCAGAGGGGCTACCGAGAGTCCTACAGCAACTCTGAAGCAGTTGCAGGAATTTAAGTGGTCATTGTGTGCATGTGACAACAATATCAAAAATTCTCCACAAATGTGGCTTGTATCGCACAGTTGCAAGATAAAAGTCACTCCTCAAGAAAGGCCACATGCAGTCACAGCTGAGCTTTGTCTAAATGCAGCTGGAAAATTCTTAGGCCACATGGAGGTGGTAATATTCTGTTATGGGGGTATTTCTCTGCAGCAGGGACTGGAGCACTTGTCAGGATACAAGGAAGAATGGATGGGGCAAAATGGTCACATTTTAAGTAAAATCTGCTGCCTTCTGCCAGAAAGTTGTCCGTGGGACGAAGCTTTACCTTCCAACATGATAATGACCCAAAGCACACAGCAAAAATGACCACACAGTGGTTGAAGGAGAAAAAAGGTGAATGTCCTTACATGGCCTAGTCAGAGCCCAGATTTAAACCCCATTGAAAATCTTTGGAATGACTTGAAGACTGCAGTCCACAAACGGTCACCATAAAACTTAACTGAACTTGAGCAGTTTTGCAAAGAAAAGTGGGCAAATATTGCTATGTCTAGATATGCAAAGTTGGTAGAGACATATCCCAACAGACTAAAGGCTGTAATTAAAGCAAAAGGAGATTCAACAAAATACTGACACAAAGGGGTGATCCTTTTCCAACTCTGTGATTCTGTTTTTAAATGTTTTACATTTTTTCATGACATGCTGGTGTCATATCTTTCAATTGGATGTTATAAGTTGATTAAATGCAGCTAGGTAAAACAAAAACTGTGTCTGTATTTTAGGCTTGGGAGTGATTCTCTTCCATACCCCCTGCATGTAACACATTGCCAGATTAAACAATATGCTCATTATTATGTAAAAGTGTTTTACCATTTTAAGCTTGATGTATATACAAGTAGGTTCTATTTAATATTTATGTTTTATAAAACTGAAAATAGATTTCACACATTGTTCTTAACCTTATGAAATAAGGATTATTTGTTCAGAGCTCGGTTCACATGATAGTACTGCAAGATAGCTATTGTTGTGTGAGTCAGGTCCCATGTTAGAAGCAGTCACAGCTTGCCGCAGAAAAACTTGGTTTCTTAGCTCTGTTTTCACAAAACATCAATTATTCTGTGCTGTCATTGAACTGTAAGCTGGGCATGAATATTTAATATACATGCTAAGACTAATGCAAGGCCATACATGGGGTCGAATTCCGAACTAATTTTCTTTAGAAAATCGGAAATTTTGTGCGTTTTTGTAATCCGACGGTGCCACCATTGATTTCGAAATTCAACCAACCAAGCCTTCAATTTCTCCATATGTCGCTACAGAAAAGAATATTTGTGGCCAAAAATTTTCTTTTCTTTCCAAGTCACAGCTTTATATTTCTTGCACGATTCTCCCATCATTGATTCGAAATTTGTTTTTCAAAAAATTTCTACCTTGTCCGATCACTCAAATTCAATGGTCACACACAAGTCAGCCTTTTCTGTGACCCACTAATGGTGCGAAATTCAAACACAAATCCTTAGAAAAGATTTTCGAAAGAAAATTTTCGGAATTCGACCCATGTATGGCCAGCTTAAGAATGTCTTCTAAATTTGAGTGCTGTCAGATTTTTGGAAGATGAACAACATGTAAGAAAATATACATCTAAATAATTTTACAAATACCAGATTGGTTTCTTATCTCCTAAAGATTCATTTGGGTTTGTTGGAAATTTTTAGAGTGAATAAAGTGAGAACTGAAATTTGTATGAGTACAGTATATCCTCTAGTCCAGTGTTTTTCAACCTTTTTTGTGCAAAGGCACACTTTTTTCATGAAAAAAATCACGAGGCACACCACCATTAGAAAATGTTAAAAAAAATTACCTCTGTGCCTATATTGACTATATATAAAGTAATTCTCTTGAATAGTAATCAAACACAAAGAAATTATTTTATAATTACTTTATTATGAAATATATAAAGTATTCTCATAATTGTTCATATTTCTGTTGACTACTCAGTGCGAAACTGGGCCTGTTTGGCTGAACACAAAGCTGATATTCTGGCGGAATCGAAGAAAGGGACACACACGTAGCTCTTCGTCAACAGCTCTCAGTCTCTCTCTGTCTTTAGTTTTTATAGAAATCAGGCTTGAAAAGCTCATCTCACACAGATATGTATAGTGGAAAATGGGAGCAATGTCAAAATAGCTTTGTTTGCCAGAACGGGGAACTCCTTGGCAGTATCCAACCAAAAAAACTGTCCCAAGGTAGATCAGCAAATCTTAGCTTGAAACTACGATTTTGTCTCAGTTCAGTTAGTTCCTCCTGCTCTCCTGTAAAGTCATGTCCTTTCCACCAACTGATGCTGAGCTATAAGGGTCCTAACCCAGTCAAGGCATTCAGTGGAGAACTGAAGAGAAATAAAATGACAACTTCTCCTCGAGAGTTTTTAAATGTTTAACTATTATCTCACCCAGTGCAGCAGTGTGAACACCTTGCCATTGCTTGGTGAGTGTGAACATTTCAAGATTGCCACTTTCCACGTGGTGATGCCGAGAGTTGCACCTTTTGAACTGGAATCCATTTATTTT